TCTATCTATCTATCTATCTATCTATCTATCTATCTATCTATCTATCTATCTATCGTTTTCAGTGTGCATATTTTCTAACCAATACAGAGTACTGTTACATGTATAAACCTGAGGAGACACATAAAACGGTAGAAAAAAATTGCAATTAATCTCATGATTTCCAACCTGTCTTTAAAAAGCAAAATTAAACCGTACTGATGCCAAATTCTACATTTTAACTTATTGTATTATTGAATTATTTTTTTATTTGATTACTTTTATTTAGTTATTAAAAGTATTATATTAATCAATTGTTTTATTTATAAAAATTATATTAATCAATTATTTTCAAATTATTAAATTATTTATTAGTTTTTAATAAGTTATTTATTATAAATATTGTATTAATTAATTATTTTATTTATAACTATTATATGATTCATTTAAATGATTTATTATTTATTAACATTTATTTTTAAATACTTTTATTTACATTTTATTTATTAATTATTCATACAATTATTTTATTTAAATTTGTGGAAATTTTTTCTCTAAACTTTTCGATGGGCCCCGAGCTTAATAGGTAGTAATTTAGCAGATCCAAAGAAATTTCAAGTTCACTTATTATAGGAGTAACCTGGGTTTAAGCGTTTAGCTCAAGAGCACAATGGTGGATCGGTGGATCTTGCAGGATTTAAATCTACAACCTTTCAGTAATTAGCCCAAATCTTTAACCATTGCATGACTCCACAAAATGAAAACTTAAAAAGAAGCACCTTTAGTTGTGGACAGTGAGAGGCGCAGCTGTGAGCCTGTTGACACACTGATAATCACTACTGTACTGCTTCATCTCCCTCATTTTCCACTCTTGCATTTTCCCTCTCTCTCCTATATAAGACAATAATATAATTTCAACTTAAATTAATATTTCATGTCCACATATTTATTTATTTGTTGGTTTGTTAACCACATAATAGGTAGCACAATGAACAGTCTGACGATCATTATCAATACAAATATAATGACTGTACATTATGCATTACATATTTGACCTATAAATATATAAGTAATACTGTGTACACTTATATAAGTGTTCTGAACTTTCAGTGCCCTTTCTCTCTCTCTCTCTCTTCCTCACACTGACACATTGACTTTTCATCCTCAGGCTCCAGTGACTGTAAATGTAAAGTGACAACCCAAAGCCACATCACCATAGCTGTTGCTGTGCCACTGCATCCAATGGAAGGGCAGCTGTGATGGAAACAAGGTCTCTGATTGGCTCCTCTGTACCATTCAAATTTTTAGCTGTGACCAATATTTAAATCCAGGTTGTTTATAAATCCATCTAGGAATGGAAAATCACTGACAACTCAATCATCCTAACGCAATAACAGATGTCAGGTGAACTAATGAACTATAATTAACTTGTGAATTTTGTCACAGATAGTGTATTTTTTGGCCCAATCAAACTTGAGGGCAAGTATTTTAAAGTATTTTATTCCTGAGATGTAAAGCAGAATTTCCAGCATCATTACTCCAGATCTTTCAGAAATCAACTTAATATGCTGATCTGGTGTTCAAGAAACATTTCTTAATATTATCAATGTTCAAAACCGTTGTGGTGCTTAATACTTTTGTGGAAACACTGTGATACACTACCATTCAAAAGTTTAAATTTTAAAACTTTTATTGAGCAAGGATGCATTAAATTGATTTGAGTGAAGACATAATGTTACAAAATATTTATATTTCAAATAAATGCTGTTCTTTTGAACTTGCTATTTATCAAAGAATCGCAGTGTTCAACATTGATAATAATTAATAACTGAACAGCATAGAATGATTTCTGAAAGATCATGTGACACTGAAGACTGGAGTAATGATGCTGAAAATTCAGCTTTGCATCACAGGAATAAATTATATTTTAAAATGTATTAACATAGAAAACACTTATTTTAACTGTTTTTTTTTATTTTAAACAGTTTTTACTGTATTTTTGATCAAATAAATGCAGCCTCTGTGAACTAAACTTTCAAAAACATAAAAAAAAATCCTAAATATTCCAGACTTTTGACAGGAAATGTAAATGTCATGGTCTTCTTGTGCATGATCCATCAGTGCATGTTATGCAAAAAGGAAAAAAAAAAGTTTTTCCAAAATCAAAATCGAACTTTCTGTGCCTTCTATTTTTCTGTCCTGATGAATAATTGCCAGTCACTTCTTAGGACATTATGTGCTGAACGCAGAAGCTGCCCTGAACCCTTGTCAACATGTCACAGAGATGCAGACTCACCGAGATGACAGCTGCTGCTGGAGGTCTCAGAGGAGCAGGGACAAGGCAGACAAGTGTCCGCGGACCCCTCACCATGACGCCGGTAAAAGTTGGGCAGACACTCCTCACAGTTGTGGCCCTGAGTGTTATCCTGACAGTCCAAACAAACACCTGAGGAGAGAGAAGGAGAATATACAGAACAACTGATCATTAGCAACAGTATAGACTGAACATGACACTTCCAGAGAGTCTTATGTAAATCATTGCATAAGGTAAGAACTTGAAAAGGTGAGACTTGAAAAGCCGTTTCTAAAACAAAGAAATCTGCTTTGTCAGAGAAGAACCTTTCACCAGTTTAAAGTTTATGTTTAAAGTGCTCTTAGTCTTAAATGTGCTCTAGGTAATTTGTTGATGATTTAAGCCTCAATGTGAGAAACGCTGTACTGGAGCTCTAGTTAACACTATTCAAGACCAGGGTTTTCAAGTGGAGGGATATAAAACAAAGAAGTTTCTGTCACTGCTGTTATTGTTAGCAAACACTTTTAAAAATGGTTTTTGTTAATTGAAATTAAGATGAACTAAAATAAAATATAAATATTAGATGAAAAACTTTGAAATGTTACCTTGGCAACTAAACTAAAAAAAAAAAAAAAATGAAAAGGTTCAGTTGAAGTACTAAAATTACTAAAACTAAAATAAGAAAAAATAGTTAAATAGAAATATTTAAAAAAGTAAATAAATAAAAACAACAAAACACCTAAAATTACTAAACCGTAATCTAAAACGAAAACTTAAAATATAAAAATAAAAGCTAATTTAAAGTACTAACAAACACTATAGTCGAATATTATAATACTATAATAGAACTATATAATATAATATAACTATAATACTATAATACCACTAGTTTCTGACTTTTTTCATTCATGACACTTAACGTAAAACACAACCAACACAGCATAAATTTAGGTCAATCAATCAGTTTGTCAATTAGTTAAAAGTTAAAGATATGTTAACTATTTAAATATTTAATTGGAATCTATATGAATTGAAAAAAAAATATTAT